CAACACAATTAGAAGAACGTCATCATCAGGTTGTGTCTGATAGGGAGGTTTGTTCTTTTCTTTGGACGATTAGCGTGACTCATCTTCCACTTCTGTATTTTCAGTTTTCAGTATTTATATTTCTTGTTTTTCATGTTTGTTTAACTGGTTCTTTTCACGTGACTGGATCCAAGCTTGTCTCTAGACTGTGGGTGAAAGACGGCCTCCAGCCACTTATCATCAAACTTCCAGATCCTCACCGAACTTTAATGACTTTCTTTCATTGCCTGGACTCAAACTCTGCTCCATAAACTGGGACTTCTAGCCTGACCCTGCAGACAGACAAACCTTCTGTCTCGACTATCAAACACGTACCTGGATCAAACTGGATGAGTGCAGATGGGTTTGTGAGGAAGTCCTTTCCAGCTGTTGCAGTGACCTCATTTACCTAAATAAAGACACAAGTTGCAGAACCACATGTTCATCAATCTGCATACAAGCTAAATGTCCTGTAGCTCAGCTATCACAGATCTCTTTTCACCTCAGTCATATTTATGTAGAGCCAGTTCACAACAACAGTCACCTCATAGTGGAAACTATATGTATAACAAATGTCTTAGTTAACCATTGTTAGAATAAGAAAAACCATAGCTACGCCTCAGTTTCAGTAACAAATGCAAACCTTGACAGAAATATATGACGATACGGCCAAATTCCCCCGACGAACAATGTCCAGTGAGATCGTTCCCTGCTCCTCACAGGCTGACGTCTCGGTCTGCAGCAGCTCCACCCTGGACCACCTGAACTCGAGTCTGTAAAGAACAAAGTTAATACAGGACGAACTCTACACTGTTTATTTAAAGTATTGTTCTTACAGGTGACGAGGCCCCGTGTTCCCCAGCAGGTCGGACACTGTGAACTCCAGGCTGTCTGAGACAGACTCCGAGTCCAGACTGATGATGTACACAATAGATCTCTTGTTTAGCTCCATCTGCAAGAAGCGCTGTGGCACAAAACCCCCTGCACAAAGTAAGAAGGATAAGGCTACAGGTTTCTGGTTCAAAGTTAAAGTGTAAACATCGTCCTTACCTGTGGTAATGTTTTCTAGGAAACCAAAGTGTGGTGGACGAACTATGCAGAATATGAGCTCTTCTTCTCTGCTGTTGCTGTCTCGAGCCTTCAGGTCTTGGG